GGGCGCTCCTCAGGCCCCGCCGCCCCGGGGCTCGGCCCCGCGTCCCGCCTGCGAGCTGTGGGGCGGGCGGGGGGGCGGGCGCCTGAGCCTGCCCCCTTGTACCGCCCTGCCCGCGGCCGGTCCCAGCGCCCGGCCCTTCGTGACCGTCTCTCGCCGCTCTTCGGAGCTCGTTCGCAGCGTCCCTGGGCAGCGGCGTGACGCGACGAGCGGTGCCTGCTGAGCCGCCCGGGGTCTCGGACACCCGGGCAACCCCCCTCCCTCGCTCCTAAGCGAAGCCCTCCGTCCGTAACCCCCGCCTCGCTGCTAAGCGAAGCCCTCCGTTCGTTCCCTCCGTTCGTTGCCTCTTGCACAAGAAACATTTGCTAGCCGATTCGTCTTTCCTGCCCTTCCTGGGCAAGCTCCGTTTCTGAGTGCATCCCTTTTGGTGGCCCTGGAGGGGCTGGAGGGCAGCCCTCCGTCCTTGGGAAGGGTGGGAGGGAAGCATCACCCAGGACGTGGGGAGCTGCCCTTGCTGGCGGGGTAGATGAATCGTGCCCGCATGGCGAGCCAGCCCGATGACCTGGCAACTAGATCCTCTCTTTAGTAAGGACTTGGAGGCCCCAGTTCCCAGCCACGGTTTGTTAAGTCACATCCCAAAGCCCAGCTTAAGTCTCACGTGAAAGTTGTTCGCCACCACCTCAGTTCATGCATCCTGTCTTTATGTATTAATTGCAAAAAGCACGCTGCAAAATCAGACCGCATGGACTTATTTGCAGCAGTCTGCTTGCTGCTTGAGGCCTTCTCAGAAGATGCGAAGGCACCTCAGAAGCCCTCCGAGACCTTCCAGGCTAAATAAATTTGTCGATCCCCATCTCCAGGTGCTGCTTCAAGGCTGGCACACTGAGACAGTCAACTGTGCAACTTAAGAGGAATGAATTTGCTTGCTGGTACCTTCCCCCCCTTCCTTCTGGATCCCCCCCTGCTGTGCTTGTGATCAGAAGGCAGCTCTTGGCGAGAGGCTGCGAGTCCCTGTGCTGGCACCCCTCAGCCCTCCCGGGAGCCGGCTGCTGTGAGCCATGGATAGAGGCTGTGCAAAAATGGCATCAGGTGTCCCCAGCCTGGGGCAGGCGTCTGGGGAGCAGCAGTCTCTGCCTGCCAGATGTGCTGTAATTAGTGTGGGAAGGTGATCCCAGTCCTCTGCACCTCTCCCCCACCAAGGGTTTCAGCCTCAAGGTGGAGGGAGGGGAGAGGAATGATGGAGGGGTGTCAGCAGGGGGGAGCGACAGGGGACTCCTGATCAAAGCTGTTTGCTAGCAGGCAGGGGGCAAGGGGAGGAGGGGGCCATCTGCTTCTGACCCATCCAGAGAAAATCAGGATGAGGAGCGTTGACAAATAACATGGTTGCGCCATGAGCTGTTTTCTACAAAGGCGGGGCAGGGAGGGGGGGGCTTCAGAGTCAATTCTTGGTTTTCCTGCCCTGGTGCAGCCCTGTGTAATGTTCCTCTGGAGCCAGCTCCTGCCCTGCAGATAAGCAAAGCTGTGGAGAGGCACAGGGGTGGGGGAGAGGCTGTGCCCAAGAAGAAAAGGGGGGCTGGCTCCAGCTGAGCAAGGGAGATGGTAGCAGTGTGGGTCTCACATGAGTTTCAGTGCATCTGATCTTCTTCAGCCCTTCTCAAAACAAGTGTCTGAGCTGGAGCCCTGGGGGACAGAAACAGTCTGTTGAGTGCCGCTCTCGGTGCAGAGATGATTTGGGGAGGGGGGACCTGCATGTGAGGCACTTAGGAAGCGTGACGGGGCAAATCCTGGCGGCCCGCAATGCTCTCCCCTCCAGGGCCCCTCCGTGCCCCCTCTCTCCTGACCTTTCTTGCTAGTCCTGCTCTCATCCTGCAAGCACAACTCCTGAGCCTCTTCTGGTCACAGGGGTGATGCAAGTGCGGTGTGGAAGGCAGCAAGACAATGATAAAATGCTGCTTGCTGTTTTACATCCTGAGTTTTAGCAGTGTGGTTGTTTTCTTGACGTTCAGGGGAGATTTTGAATACTCTCAGTCACTGTGGGAGCAAGGGTATGGGAGGGAAAGGTTCCCTCATAGTCTTGAGACCCCTCCAGGTAGCCAGTGTAGGGAAAGGTTTGATAGTGCTATTGAACCAATTAATAAATTTGAAACCTTGTTAATAAAACCATCACCAGTTACCACAACCAGCTTCCAGTCTTGTAATCGTTTGTAATCCATGTCTCCCAATTTGTATGGGTTTTTTTTCCTGCTGTCTTTATTTAGACCATAAAGAAAAGTTGCCACTTTCTAACTGGGCCAACCAGTTCTGCTGTGGTCTGTATTACGTGCGTGAGCAGGCTGAGCTCCGCAGGTGCAGCAGCTCTTTGTGGTTTTGCGTTCAGCCCAAAGGGCTGAACAAGGGGCTTTTCCCCAGTTGCTTCCCAGTTTCATGTGCCTTGTTAACAGAAAGTAGGTCTGTAATACCACCAGGGAATGTTTAAAAGGTTCACAAAGGTTGAGGGTCTCTTCTTTATTAGCGTCCAAGCACCAGAGCCATGTGGTTTCATCCTAATAGTCTCTCCATAACCAGAATTGAGCTGGGGCCAGCCACAGTGTTTTGTTGTAGGTGCCAGCCATGTTCGGACACGTGGGCTGCTTAGGGGAACTGATTCACACTCATCCCCTGCTCTCTGGAAGTTGCCTAGGATTATTTCAACCTTTTGTTTCATGGAACTGTTTCTCTGAAAAGCTTCCCAACACAGTCGGGAGGGGATTCAAAGTGTATTGTCTCTGGAAAGGAGGTGTTTGTGGCTGCCATTGCAGCAGGTCCTGCAGGACTGGAGTAGACCATCCCCTAACATGACCTGAAGGGATTTATTCTGCTCATAACTCACTTGCAGATGTCACAGGTGGCAGCCATCTTCCCATGGGCAAAGTTCTGGGATCGTAATTATAGAGGCTGAGAGTTTAGAAAAATGCATGAGAGACTGGCCTGGAGTGTAAAGGTCTTTGGGCACCTCTTTATTTCTCTGTGTGTGAGTTTTCCTCCCATTGACCAAGCTGCTGGAGGGAGCCTGTCTTTGATAGCAGTCTTGAGGGATGTTGCACTGGGTTTTTAGTCCATCCCAGTAACTCAGTTGGCTTTACCTGGTGCTTGTCCCAGCAGAGATGCCCCTTCCTGGCCCCTGGAGCAGAAACAAGAACTGGACATTGCTCTCCCTGTGAGGAGGACCCTGTGTGGTCCAAGGCTCCCCTCTGCAGATACAAGATCTGACCAGGGAAATGGCCGGTCCTTCTTTCTACCGTTCTGAGCAGCTCCAAGAGTTCAGTTCTGTTAACATAGAGAAAACAGTGGCTTCATTCAGCTCAAGCTGTAACTGTGGGAAAAGGCCAGGTCTGCTCCTCTGTGGAGTTTACCATGACCAGAAACTGCTTTCCAGAGATGTCTGAGTGGTCCCTGGGCTGCCAGGGCAGAGGATGGAGCAGACCTCAAAGGAGATATGGTGTGGGGAGGCTGTTTCTCTCCCTCATGTCTCTCCATGCTGCTGCCTCTGCTCTGGCTCTGAGAGGATCCTCAGCTCTTGAGTGCCCTCGCGAGGGATCCGCAGAGCCTTCTCCTCGGCCTGAGCGTAACTGCACAGTCCGGCCAAGATGGGGAGAGAGGCCAGCGGGAGCTCTGCTTATGGCTTTGCCCCCTCCCTGTGCAGAGAACACACTTGCAAACTGTATTCTTCGAGCCTTTTCATTGCAGGCTCTTGGATCTGCGTCCCACAGGCTGAGGACAAGCTCCTTTGTGCAATTCATTGTATGTCTGCTTCCCCTGGAGAGGCAAAGGGGGGGGGGGATAAAAAAAGTTTTAAGCTCCCAATATCTGCAAATCTCTCTTACAAATGGAGGTTTTGTAGGCCTAAAAGTGACACCCAAGGGACCAGCCCTGCAGCAGCAGAGCCTGACTCTGTATGGACCCGCAGGAGGGTTAAGCTGTGGATGAAATCCCAGGGGTTAAAGCCCAACAGGAGAGACGTGGCTCAGCTGGGTTCACTACCTGTCTCTTCGCATCCTGCCTTCTTCCAGCTTTAGTCTGTGCTGGTGCAAAGGGGTAAAAAGAGATGTGGCACGATGTGCCTGTTGCAGGAACAGGGGGTGTTGCAGGCAGAGCAGGGTGGCATGCAAAGCCTGTGCAGCACTGGCTGGACCACTCAGCTTTAAATGCCGGGGGTGACAAGTTTGTGTCAGCTTGCAAGGCAGTGGCACGCTCACACGTATAAGCAGTGCTAATTTTGTGGCAGAGCAGTGCAGACTGGCCCTCCAGAACTGGTTTTGCCCCTCAGTTGAGCTGCTATGTTAATTTTCAAGGTGATTTTTAGGTTTGTTGAGTGCCCTGTGGTAGCACATCCTTGCCTGCAGAACTGCTGCTGCAGAGAGCAGGAATCAAAAAAAAAAAAGGGGAAAGAGAGTTGGGGAGGGGGATGCATTGTTTCATAAGCCCAGTAGAATAAGAATAATGTGGGGGTTTTTTGTAGATGAGGAATTGAAAAAGAATTTAATTTTAGCATTGAGATAACAGCAGGCAGCTGATAAGCTCCAGCCAAACCCATGGCCTTGCTGTGCTTGTGTGATATGTGTATATGCAGGAAGAGATGCTGCCGAAGAGATTCTGAGCTAGGTCCATGGGGGACAGTCGAAGGGAAGAGCTGTCCTTAGCATAGGTGGATGTGATGCCCAGAAGGAATAAATTAATTTACCTCAGACGGTGCAGAGCTGGACTCTGTCCTGCTCCATCCTGGTCTTGCTCTGACCTGTCGCAGCCATTGGAGAGCTGATGGGAAGGGGGAGCTTTAGTTTCTCCGGAGCTGCCGTGGGTGCACCCGCTCTCAGCTGTGCCCCATGTCCTCTGCGGTGCTCTCCCTCGCTGGGGGCTCTGCAGGTGCTGCAACCATGCCCTGGGGAAGCACACGTCGGAGGACAGCATTTCTGAATTAACTCACAGTCTGGGAAGAAGAAGGGAACCCGAATCCCTGGCTTGGAAAAACCTTGCTGGGGGTCCTGCTGTCCCCCCTGAAGGTGACCCCAGGGCCAGCCCCGACGGGGTGTGGGAGGAAGGGGATGGTGTGGAAACGCTGCGGCTCGGCACAGCGTGTGGGAAGATCGGCCTCATCCCTCTGCGTTGGGGTCTCTCCCTGTCGGGGAAGCACTGCTCAGCCATTTCAGGGACTCATAGGAGGCTCTTGCTTGGTACGTATTAAACATCTTTTTTCTGGATGGGCTGCAGGTTTAGCCCCAAAATTTACGGAGAGGTGCAGTCACTGCTGAGCAGCCTTTGGACTTGCCTGCCCTGGTTTCCCCGCCTCACTTGAAGAGGAGGCATCATTCCTGCTCTCAGTTCAACCTGGTTTTTGGAGCAGGTACAAGGATGATGATGCTATTTACCAACACAGATCATGGTGAGTACATCACCTAGAGGAAAACCATGGGTGTACCCTTCTGACTGGAGACGATCTTGGAGCTTGTTCAGCAGCTCCCTTTGGACTCACTTTTGAATTCATGTGCAAGACTGAAAAAGCAGCCTAGCTTTGGCATCCAGCAATCACTGCACCTGGTGACACTGCATTTTCATCTGAATCTTTGGGCTAGGGCCAAATCTTGCCCTCTTGCATCAGACAACAGGAGATGAGTGATGTTTACTTCTGGCAAACTTTCACATGAACATCTATTTGAAAATAGATGCCAATGTTATGAGTGTTTAGGTTGCCAGGGCCTGGACAGGGACTGAAAAAAATCCAGAATAATAGGGTAAATCCTCTTTTTTTTTTTTTTTTTGAGCCCTCTCTCTGTTTAGGCCAGAGCTGGGCAAAATAATTTACCACAAACATAAAAATTTGTGTGCTGAGGTGGTGTGACATTGGATGGAACTGATATGATCAAGGGTGTTGAAATGAGAAAGACTTGCCTTCTGTATTTCTAAAATATTTCAGTTTAATTATTATCATTAAGTATTATGCAAACCTCAGTATGTTTCAGTCTGGGTTGAATTCAGCAGCTGCTTGGGGGGTGGTTTTTAGTTTTGCCTTAGTTGAAAAAGCTGCAAATGTTTGCCCCAAACAACTGAGAAAAAGGTTGTTTGGAGTTTTTCCAGAAAAAGCAAATATTCACTTTGTTTGCACAACTACAGCCCTGACCTAAATAAAACTTTGTCCAATATGATGATCCCTTTTGCTTAAAGAACTGAAAATAGCTAGAAAAAAACCCAGAATATGGTAAGACTCCAGTCTTACTTTGAAGACTTTGCTGGTTTCTTTTACAATCTCACTCTTTATTTTTAAATAAAAGTCTTGTTTCAGAAGCAATCAGATATTTTGTCTTTAAAAGCTCATAAAAATACCTCTATATTAGAACAGCTGGGGGGGATGACACTTACAGTGATGTGCCCCAACAGCATGAAGTTGTCCTTGCATACCTTGGCTATGCATTACAAACACAGCACATAAAACTGAGAGCAAGATAACATCAAAATACAGATTTCCCTCAAGATATTGACATAACATGATTAAGGCTCTGCCGGTTCTCACCTCAACACCCATACTGAACCACGCAGAGCAGAAACAGTGTTTTCTGTTACCAAAGTAGTGTATAGCAATAAAAAGGAGGGGAGGAGGAAGAAGCAACCTGTATCTTGTACAAAACCATGCCCTGGGCTGCCCTGCTGATGCTGGGCTCCAGCAGGTAATTCTCACATCTAGCCCAGTGTTTGTCACGGTGAAAACCCCTGTGGTCTTGTCTTCGTGTCCCCAACCAACCAAAAAGTCTGTTCTTTGGTTAGAGCATGAACAAATAACCCCCTCCTCTTCCTTCATTTTGTCCCCTCCTCCAAGTTAATGGCCACCAATCTCCTGAGCCAGGTCAAGGCACATGGTAGAAGGAAAGAAAAGACAGGCTGTGGTTTTAGGGTGCAGGGCTGTGCCTCAGCTGAGCCATCAGTGGGGCAGATCAGCAAGGCACTGCTGGCAGGAGACCTGGCTAATGCCAGGGTCCAGTTGCTGTAAGGAGCACTCAAATGTGCTGCTTGTGAAAACACCATAGTGTTCTTGATTTGCATCTTGTTTGAACACAGAGCGTGGCTCTACAAGGCCCCAGTCTGTGCTGCTTATATGGAAATAAGCCGTGCTCTGCTACAGCTGCTCCTTCTCCGGCAGGCAGCACCATAGGCACAAGGGGCTGACACCTGGGGCTGACTGCCGCGTTACTATAAATGCTGTAACCTGCACATATCCCCCAGGTGTTCTCCGAGTTGGCTACTCTACCCTAGAGCATCTGCAGAAACACAGTGTGCAAGGGCACCACAGTATTTCCAGGACTTGGATTTCTCTTCTTGGTATGCAGAAGAGGAGGCACAGTAAGAAACCAAGCTGTTTTGTTGAGGATTTTTAGTGTTAATGCCAGAGGCTGTCTTTTCCAGCTAATCCCAGATCTGCTCCTAGTTGCTTTAGCGTATGCCAGAGCACCAGCTGCCTGGCAGGGAAGCAAATGTACCTTTGGAGGGCAAGGACCTGGTGTGCCACCCCATGTGGTTTGAAATAAATATCAATGCTAACATCTACATTCATCAACAAAAGTTATCTGGGGAGAGGTAGGCAGGTGGCTTCCCGTCCTACACACAGATCAGAGATCTGGGTGAAGAGCAATCTATTGTGTAGGACCAAAGCTGATGCATCAGCCGAAAGAGATAGTCATAGCCTTGTAATAGTAAAAGGATCAAGAGTGGACTTTTTTTTTAAGGAAGTAACATTAAGTCAAACTGTCTTACTCATTCTTTCACCTGTGCAGGCCCTTAAGGCTTCACACTATCAGAATGACCATAAAGTGGTTTCTGTTTCATTGCTCTCTGTCTTTGGAGCTTATTCTCTGGCATATGGGATCCCCCGCTTTAGTGCAGTGTTTAAGTGCTGACAACCTGAAATTTCTTGTAATTGATGTTTAGGGGATTTCTGAATTGCAAGTTTGTTTAAACATCCTATATTTAGGATCTGGTCTTTGCTGGGTGTCATTCAGTCTGTGCAAGTGGGACTCTATCAGGACTGACTGGTCAAACCCTTGACTAGCAAACTGGTTTTCTTTTTGAAGCATGCCTTCAAAATGTTGGGCTTTGGGGAATTTGACCTTCCTGTGTTGCAGGGGCTCTCTGCAAAGAGAGAGAAACATTCTAGATAAAGTACATTGTGAGGCTGATGTACATTACATTAGCAAACTGAGGGGCAGGGAGAAATGAAAGAGCTACTGAACTGAAGTATTTTTCTGGCATACTAGTTGTGTACGTTATTTGTGTATTTACTGATAGGAATGCTAGCTGCAAAGTCCTGTTTTCCCTCCTGCCTCCCCACACAGTGATGTTCTTCTGTGCAATATCTACTAAATACCTAAAATATCCACTCTTCCCATCTGCCAGAAGGAAGTATGTGATCTATCACCTCCAGGACTCAGCTGGCCAAATGGCCTGTATCAACTTGTACCTGTCAAACTCCTACCAAGAAAGAGAAACAAATTGAAGAGAAATAGCTCTGGTTGTGCCTCCACCTGCACTGGAGTTTGCCAGAACTGTCTTTCCAACCCCTCCCAGGGCTCTGGCAGGCTTTGCCCCTAGGGTTTGGTGTGGACATGGCAGCCCCCCTTCTCGATAGTCTGCACCGGGTGGATTGGTAGGACCAGGTGGGAGATGCGGCTCCACAGCCCGCTCAGCTTGTCGGAGTCCATGTGGTCATAGGAGCTGGGGGTCCTGGTGTTGGTGAACTTGGCCCAGAGAAAGTCACGGACCCTCTCTTCCACCTGCTGGAGGCTGATGTGGGTGTCCAGTGTCTCCTCCTCCAGCAGCACGGTCAGCAGCAGGGCCACGTCCTTGAAAGCAGCACTTTCGTGGTCGCAGTACTTGTAGAAGATGAGAGTGGCGCCGGCCGGCAGCAACTCAAAGCGGTGTATCACTGCAGCACGGCCCCCAGCCTGGAAAGCTGAGCTCAGCTCTGAGTCCACCTCCAGCTTGGCGTGGTCACTCTGGAGCCTGGATTTATCCGTGCCGTCGATCTGGACCGTGCTGGCATGCAGGGCGGCCGAGTAGGTGTTGGCCACACAGGTGCTAAGGCATCGCAAGGTCCGCTCACCCTTGCGGGCAGCTGTGAAGATGATGATGGCCGGCTGCGTGTGGTGGGATGCATTGAGGTGCTTCTGCAGGAACTTGCGCCCACGAAGCCACAGGTGCGGACTCTGCCCTGGAAACTTGTCCGGCAGCTGGTTGAACTGGGACAGGAATGCCTCCACTGTGGGGTTCTTGGGGACTTGCTGGGACATGGAGGTTGGGTTGCCGAAGCAGAATATGCAGAAGCCGAGCAGTACGAGGCTCATGACGGCAAGCCCTGTTCAACAGGGGAGAGACCCAAGATGAGGAACAGAAATCAGTCCCAAGTGACCTGCAGTGATATGCTGGAAAGTAGCTACGAGGGCTCTTTTCCCCCCTCAGACCTTCTCCCCCTACACTGGGAAAGTGGTTCAGATTGGCGTGCTCTCTGGTAGCCCAGAAACGGTGAAGAGGCTGCTTGCTCCATGTTGTGAGACCCGTGCTACTACACACCAGGCGGGGGGGCTACAGCTCCAGAGATGGAGGCAAAGCTACAGCTTTGTTGTCACGGTACAAAATTTCCTGAGGAAGTTGCAGCTGGCTACAAGCTTTCTTGTCTTTCCCCCTTCTCTGTCTTCTTTAAGGTTTGTGGCCGTTCAGAGCACCTACCTCCACATATGGAAGTGTCTGACCCAGCTAAAGCATTGCGGTCACTGCCTTCCTCCTAGCTATGCTGGGCGAGCAAAGGCTACCGTGCTTGGGCCCAGAAGAGGAGGACAGTGAGGTCCGAACACAACTGCTTGTGTCCCTCTCCACGGCAAAGCAAGGTCTCTTTCTACCAGGAGAAATGTGTGGTGCAGATCAGCATCACAGTTCCCACTTGAGGCCCCACAACACAGAGCGGGATTGGGAAGGGGGACAATCAGCACAGGAGACCTTCAGACCTCCCAGGACATGCTGGGGTACTCCCAGCATGCTGAACACCATGTGCCTGCTTTTGAGGCTGGAAAGCTGGAGGGAAAACTGCTACTATAGGCTCAAACTAAGCCTATTTTTAAGGGGACGGTTGTTCCCTCAAACCCTCAGAAAAGGCTGTGAAAGGTCCTGAGAGAGAAGAATTAAATGTGCTTCATTACTTGTTCCTGGAGGATTAGTGCCTTCTGGTCGATGAGTAACATACAAGGGAAGCTTCTTTTCCTCACCTTTCAGCAAGAGGGACTCTTGGGTCTTCTCCTCGTCTGTGTTTTGGGTGGGGACATTCTGCAAGCAGGGCTGAGCCTCTGGCTTTAGGGCTGTGTGCCCTACAGTAAGAGAAAGAAATGTGCCACTCACTGTTGAGGGAACAGGTAAAATGAGCTGTAATAAGAAAAGCAACAGAGCTGCCAGGAGCAACCAGCTGAGGGGAAGAATTAGAAGTGAATGCTGCTTTGGGTTAATACTGCTGTGAGTCTTGGCTCTCTCTGCTTTTCGGGCAGGGGAAGGAGAAAGACTATGCAGAGGGCAGTGTGGTTTCAGGCCTTTCAAAGCAGGACAGTAGCCAAAGGAGAGAGAAAGAGAGAAGCCAGTTAATTTCTTATACCTCCTTTCCTGCTCAGCTCTGGAAAACTGCCAAGGGGCACTAGAGATCTCACCATATGGTTTTTCTAATGCCTATGGAAAGTGCAGGCATGTGCACAATAGAAGAGCAGCAGCACACAGCCACCAGCTCACCTTCGGTCCCACGTCTGTTCCTTAATGTGCCTTGGGATCCACTCTCCTGTGTTTCTTGCTGTATGTGCTCTTCTGGCTCCTGATCTAGGAGAGGGGCACTGGTGCTCTTCTCTGCCAGGAAGCCCTTGGTGACATCTTCCGTGGCAGTCACATCCAAATGTGTCATTTTACTGTCAGAGCTCAGTGACTTGCTTCTTGATGAAGCATCTTCCTCTGCTGTGAAGGAGCTTTCACATTGCCTGCTTGTCTCCTGGTCCTCCCTTGTTTCCTGGTGGACAGGGCTGTCTCCTTTGCTGTCCATTTTATCATGGGCCAGCCCGGCTGTGGGGAATAAAATACGCAGACCTATGCTTAGTCTCTTTCAGCACAAGAACCAACAACGCTTTCTCCTGCTCTGCCTCCTCTAAGCAAAGGTCCAGGTTATCAGCATTTTGGAAATGCTGTATGCAGGGATGGGGAGAGACTCACCTTCATCCAAGTCATCTTCTTCCTGTGATCTTTCTGAGACACCATCTCTTGTCTTCCCAGATTCTTCCAGTGATACTTCAGTTTCCTGGGGAACCTTTTCCTCTACTGTGGGGCCAGCTGAATCCAACAGCGTCATCTCTCCTCCATCCAAAGTTGGTGACTTACATACCAAAGAGTCATCCTGTGGTTTGCAGGAGGTCTCAGGCCACCTGCTTGTCACTTGGTGCTCAAGTGTTTCTTGGGTGGGCTCTTGGTGCACAGGGTGCTCTGCTGTGTTCTCCACCTCATCTTGGGCTGGCCCAGCTGTTGGGATCAGAGTTCACAACCTCAGCTAGCCATACAGGAGTCAAGAATACCCAGTTCTTTACCACCACCCTGTAAACCTCCCAGTTCTTGCATTTCAGAAACATCTACCCCACTGTGAGACAGGGGAGAGAATAGGGTGACCAAAAGTGAGAAAACTCACGGGTTGAGATCAAGACAGCTGAATAGGTGAAGGAAAGGAGGGGGAAATCACAAGTGATGTAAAGCCAATCGCTCACCACCTCCCACAAGCAGACTGCTGCCAGGCCAGTCTCCGAGCAATAGCAACCTTGGAAGCCAACCCTCCCTGCCCCCTTCTTCTTCCTGTACCCCATTTTTTGTTGCTGAGCATGGTGTTACACTGTATGCAATAGCCCTTCGCCCACCCCAGGTTATTTGCTTGGCAGGGAGCAAGTGGGGAAAAAGAGAAAGTCTTGACTCTGTGCCAGCACTGTTCAGCAATAGCCAAGACACTGCTGCGTTATCAACAATTTTTTTTGAAAGCACAAATCCAAAACATAGCACTTTACGGGCTGCTATGAGGAAAGTTAACTCAATCCCAGCCTACGTCCTACGCTGTCCTATGTGGGGTGGGCAGGCAATTCTTTCGTTAAGTGGCAGGATATGTTACCAAATCTTCCACAGATAGTGGGTTTTCCTAGGCTGGTAAATTAAGGCGATGGATTTGAAGCATTTCTAAGGCTGTTGTGGAGTGCTGGCTAGAACAGTTATGCCAACACACTTCAAGCATCTGCCTGAACGTAAATGTTAGCTCTGCTTGTGCTCCTTCTCTGCTCTTGTTCTGGAGCTGCTCGCCCAAAGAGCTATGGCAACGTATAATTAAAAGCAAACACTGGAGCATAATTCAGTAATGAAACTGTGAGGCTGCACATAAGTGTTTGCAGCATATTCTCAATCTTACAAAACCAAACAGTGCAGCTCAAATTTCAGGTGCTGTTTGTGAAAAATTGCTTATGAATGGTCAAGGACTACAATGACAGAAATGATTATGCTAAAATTAGAATAGAGACTGAAAAAAATGGCAAGGAACTCCCTACTAGTTTGAAAGCAGAGAAAAAGCTGCGCTTGTCACGTGTCAGAACATGCTATCCTTTGGATTATGATTTTTATATTCCTGGTTGCTGATTATTACAGGAAGACTTCTGGCCGCCCAGGACAGACCTGAGCTGGTTATAGCATCACCGTCTCACTGAAATACTCATATGCGGTAGTCATGACAAGGCACCCAGAGAATGTAAGTACGTGTTAGAAACTGAAATATGAGGACCCTGGAGGTATCCTGCTATTCAAGCTGGGCAAAAACAGTACTCCTTGCCCTGCCTCCGCCAGAGGTTTCCCATCCATAGGTGGTAGAAAACTGGCTTATTATTTAAGCATCTGTAGATGGGAAGCACTGGGATGCAGGGAAAAAAGCTCTCCCAGTCTGGAGCTCCATCTTTAGCCTTCCCTGTGCTGCCATCCTGGACACAGAGTCTAAACCTGTTGCAGATGGGAATCCAAAACTGAAACTAACTTGTTAATCTTTCACCCTTCAAAAAAAGATAGCAATTTGCTTTTCTTGGAAAAGGGGCAATTTTTTTATTTTTTATTTTTATTTTGCTTAGGTTTCCCATGTCCCTTTGCAAGAAGATTTCAGCAGTGATTTTCCTAGTAGATGGAGTAAGCATAGGATTCACTTACCTCCGGACAGATCCACGCTTGGATTCTCTTCCATTTTCTTTCTCCCCTGGAGCTCAGGCTTCTGTACCGTTTTCACTTTCTCCTTCGTTCATAAGGAGATGTATCTCCCTGCCGTTCGTTTGAGTGGCTGACCAAGCCCCCTCACAGACACCATCCCGTCTTGGCCTCGGGAATTGTGACTAATCGCCCATAAACCTGATAAGCACAAACACAGGAGCAGTGATTCACGGTGGAGAAGGAGGATCCTCCCTCCACGCTTATCAAGGTGGTGTGAAAATGGATGGATGACACTGATAACCGTGAACCTTCAGCCCAAGGGCTATTAGCTATTTCGCTTCCTGGCAGGCTACAAGCAGTCCAAGGGCTAACGCAAACCGCGGTTGTCTTGGGACAAGCCAGTGGGGTGAGGCACCGGTTTCTCACCCAGACGCGCTCGGATGGACTCAGCCGTGCTCTGCGACGGCAGGCCTGGAGGCTGGGGCTCGGCAGGCAGGTTATCACAGAGCAATGAGCCTGCTCCACCTTACCTTCCTGCCTCTGGCACGTTGGATCCGGTGGTGCTGGAAGGCGAAGTCGCTGGCAGAAATGCTGCCTGGCCCCTGTGCAGCAGCATTACCCCCACCCGACCTTGCAGCCATCCGAGGGGGCTGAGCAATGCCCTGGCCAGGTGTGGTGAACCTGAAGCCACAGCCTGACTCTCCTACACCCCCCCAGAGATACTTCCCCCTCTGCTAAAGCACTTTGGGACCGGACGGCTGCGCAGGAATGAGCTCAATGCCTGCCCGCGGAAAACCAGGCAGCATGGAAAACTCCCGAGAAACTTTCCCTGCTGGAGAGTGGTTGGTGCGGATTTCTGTACAAAAATCTCAAGCTCAGCCTTCGCAGCAGCTCTTCAAGCGTAGGAGGGCACCCTCCACCTTCCCCCCGCCGCCTCTACAGCTGAGTTTTCTTGCTAAATACGTGATTTGGAGGTGTGTGGTGGTATAATTGCTGCTCTCTGCCTCCCGGCTCTCGTCCCTCCCCTCCCTCTGCTGTTCCCGCTGGTGACGCTCTGGCAGAAGAAGGAAGTCAGAGGAACAAAGTGGTTTGCGAAGTCGGACGCTTACCCGAGCAGGTTCAGAGCCGGTCAGGGCGGCGAAGTGAAGCAGAGGGGCAACAAGAGCAGGCCAGCGCTGGCCCCTCCGCTTGCCCTTCCCAGAGGCCCTTTGGCTCTGGTGGTGGCAGGACAGCCTGTGCCCCCAACGCACAACCTTAATCCTCTGCTGTCAACGTGACAGTGAACTCTGCCCTTCCATGGGTGCCGAGCAGGCTGCTGGGAGGTGTAGTTTCCTTTCCCTCCTCCTCGCCAAAGGCGGATGGCTTTTCCCCAGTGAACAGCAGTCGTTCTCGAGAGCGTTCAGGAAACGATAACTCCTTTTTTGGCTGTATTTCTGAAACTCTGCGGTCGTGCAGACTTTCCTTCAGGCAAACTTGATGACTGGCTTCTTCCTGCGTAAAGCAGCAGCGTTGCAGATTTAAACAACTATATGACCATGAGGAGGGAACTGTTTTGACCGTTAATTTATGAAGATGAAAAGTACCACAAGAAAAACAACCTGAACGTATAGCCAGCAAACTCCAGACTCTTGAAATGTCCCGTTGTGCAAGTGCAGGGAGGCTGAGGAGCTGCGGGCTGTGAAATGGAGCATCTTTAGCATTAGCGTGGAGGGCAAAGGATGGGGGGACCCCCCTCAATGCTCCCCTTCCAGCATGGCCCAGAGACTGCAACAGGTGAAGGTCAGAGAGAGTGCGTGTAGCTGCTCCTGGCCTCATTTGGGCAATGGCTTTCCAAAAAATGATGCTATGCCTTGCTGTGCCCGCACAAGGGATGGGTATGGTCCAACCCCTTCCCTATACCCGCCCCTGCCCAGGACACGTTTCATGGGAAGCGGCAGCATGGAGCAGGGCATGCCTGGGGGAAAGGCATCAGCGCAAGGAGCAGCAGCGCAGAGACTCCCCCCCCCCCCGAAACTCAGTTTGCAGCCTCTTCACCAACATCCTCAGAGAAGCCCACCAGCAAATGGCTGAGGCGAAGCATTTGGAGAGGCAACTGAAACAGTGCTGTTAAGGAGCAGGCACTAAATGGCTAGGACTCCTCAATTTGGAGAGCAGAAGGCTGAAGAGTGGGATTTGACTAATACTAGGACTTGAGACACTTGTAAAACAGGTAAGAGGTTGGGTTCAAATGGGCAGAAAGAAATACTTCTTTATGCTGTGTGCAGAAAAGCTTACTGGCACAGGGGCCACAGAGGCAGAGAGTCAGAAGGTTCAAAAAAGGAGGAGTCTCACTTGTGGACAACAGGTCCATAAACAGATAGTACAGGACCAGGCAGGGGTGTACCTGGCAATGGGAGATGCCACGTAGGTGAAGCGTGTGAGCCCAGCCCCGACCCGTGCTCTGTCCTCCTTATGTTCCTGCAGCATCCAGCACTGTCTGAAAGAGCTTGTGTGTGCCACCTTGTTTGTGCCCCCCTAGGCAGGACTGGCCAGAGGGTGCCCTGCTTCCTCGCTGTCTCTCTCCAGGCCTCCATGAGCCATCCCCTGCCCTAAGGCCAACTCTGCGTCCGTCCCTTGACCGTATTGTAACTGCTCAGTTATGAGACACATGCGTGTCATGCTACACTAAGGGGTAAGCATGCATGCGAGTATCAATACCAACACTGGTCATATCAGGAAGGTGAGAAGGCGTGAGGTGTGCGTGGGCACAGCGCATGTAGCAATAGCAGGATTGCACCTTCTCTCCAACAGCGCAGAAAGGCAGCGGCTTCCTCCGTCGCCTGCAGAGCCACCCTCCTGGTGGTGGCCAGGAGGGGACAGAGTCCACCTCCCTCCCTGGCAGATTCAGCACATTCCTTTATTGTGGCCAGCCTCTCCCAGGCTGCAAAACCAGGGAGGATGGCAAAGCAGGAAGGAAGAAGTCCGAGTGGCTGATCTGCAGAGGCCAAGATCTCCCTGAGGGCCCTGCTCTTGGTTGATGCCCATTTTGCATCCCAGCCAAAGGCAGTGCTTCTTGCCGTAAGTAACGAACAGCCAAGGTGGCCAAAGCGGACAGGGGCTGCAGGTGTCAAGGGCTTCATGAAAATCGAAGTATTTTACATCCCCCTGTCCCTACAGCCAGCCAGTCCCCTCACCAAGGGAGGCAATTGGGAGCACGCAGATGGAACGCCCTGTCCATAGAAGCACAAGTGTTGAAACCAGTGGTGGAACTCCAGCTCAGCAAGTGAAAGAGGCGAGTGCGTGACAATACCGGGGGGTAGTAGCTTCAGCCTGCGCGGGTTGAGAAGCCGGTTACTGAAAAGCTGCTTGGCAGGAGGATTAACTGGTGGGCCTAGGACATGAAGTCATCCACCACCACAGAACTGTTACAAAAAAGCGTGTTGACGTTGGGTAATGTTGCTTTTCTTCCTTTAGCATTCACAAAGTCATGGGATATGAGCTGGGATGTAGAATTGTAAGGTAACAAATCTGGTCTGTTTTTAACTCAAGTTTGACGGAGGATTTTATTTAAATAGGAATAACCTTTTCTCTCAATCTGCAGAAGAATCAACAGTGACTAGGTGAATTATAAAGGACACACTATGTAAATATTTACACAACATAATCATTTAGTAACTTTCTCTGGAAAATTGCGAATAAAGTGCCATTACCTGTAGCTGTAGTTCTGCCCAGTCAGAAATCATGAGCCAGTCACCTGCAGTGCTTTTTCTACTTGCTTTGGGCTGAATGGACAGTTCAGCTGTATTTTGTTACATCCTCTTTTACTTTTGCTTTGGAAAACATTGGTCAGTGTCTGTGTTCTGCTTTTAGATCTTAAAAGAATTATGGTATTTCCTCTATTGCTGGTACAGGAGGAGGGATGCATAATTTATCTTCATAAATACTCACTTGCTTCTGGACGAAAGTGTAACATTTACAGGGGGCTAGTACAACATTAAAATTGTTTTTATTTTGAAATACATGTACAGATAAGACAGTTGCAGAAGACTGAAGAGCACTTCCCTCGCCCAGCCTTCTTGTTTGAGTGCACAGAACGTGTACACACCTACCCCCTGCAAAACAAGTACCACCAGAAGCAGCAAGCGTAAGTTATCCTGGAGCACTGTAGATTAAGATACTGCCATCACAGATGTCAGTATCGTCTTCCTCAATCCCGTCTTTAGCAGTATGTAGAAATCCTTTAGAATTTGTAAAAGGTACTCGGTTTGCTTAGCAACTTGTTTCCAAATTGGTCCTATGCTATTCGCTGCCCTGGCAGGCGTCTGTGCGGTGGTTACAGAAAACGCCTGTCCGCTGTCTAAAGGTGGGAAAACCAGGCACACACAGGCGTGTAATAGTTCCAGACGCTCTATCACAGTACACCGCAGCCCCACAGCGTGGGCGCTTTTTACTTGGGGCACCCTCCGCGGGAGACAACTGCGTGCGGGCGGCCTGCAGAGCGGGCCCGGCCAGCGGAGCCACGACGCTGTCCCTCCAGAGCCCCCC